TTATGATGGCGACGACGACGATGATGATGATGTTTATGATTATGATAATGATGATGATGATGTTTATGATTATGATAATGATGATGATGATGTTTATGATTATGATAATGATGATGATGATGTTTATGATTATGATAATGATGATGAGGCGATGATGGCGTTTGTAGTTGTGCCAGGTTTTTGTTTTTTTTTTTTGTAATTGCTTTTTTTGTCGTTAAAGTTTAAAAAAAATTAACATTTTTTTCCAAACCAAATGTTCAAGGAACATTTATCATTGCAATGAGAATGTTCATCACCCTATATCTGCACTGGACGAGATGAGATACCAGTGAGTTGTTGGATTGGTTGATTGATTGATTGATTTGTTGGTTGGTTGATTTGTTGGTTGATTGATTGATTGGTTGATTGATTGATTGGTTGATTGATTGATTGGCTTATTGATTGGCTGATTAATCCATTGATTGGTTGGTTGATTGATTGGTTGATAAGCCAATATAATTGATAATAATCTCTATAATTGTAATAATTAATCATATGTCGTAGTTAAACTAACAATCAATCAATCAATCAGTCAATCAATCAATCAATCAATCAATCAATCAATCAAATAACAACAACATCAATTACGCCAACATCACACCAGCATCGCAACAACAAACTTACAACACCACCATCACATCAACATTACAACATCAACGCCACAACAACATTACAACAACATCACAGCAACAACACCACAACAACATCATCACCAGCATCATGTACTACAATTATCTGGGCGGTGTGCTGACTATCAATAGAGACAACGTCTTCAAGGCCAATGGTCACTCCAACGACTACTGGGGCTGGGGCAATGAAGATGATGATTTTAACGCTAGGTTGTCGTCGTCGTCGTTGTAATTATGAGGATGATGATAATGATGATGAGGTTATGATAATGGTGATGATGATGATGGTGAGGATGAGGTTATGTTAATGGTGATGATGGTGGTGATGGTGAGGATGATGTTGGTGGTGGTGAATGTGATAATGACTGATGATAATGATGGTGATGACTTTGTGGCTGATAATGTTGTTTATTTGTGTTTATTTCGACATCACTGTCATCATCTTCACACCACCACCAACAGAACCATGGAGATTGGCTTGATGTTGACCAGACCTCCAGAAAACATTGGAAGGTTCAAGATGGTGCGACATGCCAAGTTGTGGCGGGAAAGTCATGGGTAAGTGCCGATGATGATGACGAAGGTGGTGATTATGATGTTGGGGAATTGTACAGACGAATTTTTCCAACGCTTTTCATGAATTGAAAAGCGTGGGAAACCACGCGCTATTGAATGGATGATATAGTGGCGTTCTTGGCTGCTGCTGCAGACTGAACTGATACAAAACGGAGCATACACAAATACCGTGTCCATATAAGTCGCATATGTGGTCTCCTCTCGGTCGTCCTCACCCTCATTCGGAGCATGCAGCTCCAGAGACGACCATCTTTTGAGAACTTTCTAGAAAGCTTACACAGCACAATTCCTGAGATTGTCTGGTCACTATTTTGATTAGCATTGTTCTTTTATCTTATAATGGTAACAATAATTATTATTTATTATTATTATTTATTATTATTATTTATTATTATTATTTATTATTATTATTTATTTTTTTAAACATATTATTACTACCTATTTTTATGTTTGACGAGTTAATTTAACTGATATCTGAAAACTGCCACAAATGCTATTTATAAATGACCACAAAGCAACGAGTTGTTTTTAACATGGAAATCCCGATGGCTCAACGATGGTCTGAAGCAGCTGGACGAGAGTAAGTACAAGTTCGTATCCACAACTGCCAATCAACTCTACACTAAAGTCGCCGTCGATTTTGGCTCCTCCCCTCAGCTGGTCACACCCAGTCCCAATTCACCCCGCGAATCCTATTTTTGGTAATTAATTTATTCTTAGAAAGAAAATAATAAAATGAACTTGAAAATGATAATATAAAAATAATAATTATAAGAATAATAATAATAATAAATGAATAAGCCATGAAAAATTTGTTTATCTTTTAGCATTTTAAGGAGTTATGCTGCAAATAAAGCTGTAACAATTCATTAGAAAGCCACTTCATTGTGAAATGTTAATTTATTATTATTTTGATTTAACCGATTTTGTTTATTTCAATATTACTGTACTGGCTCCAATCTTATTTATATTCCTTTGTCCATTTTTTTTATCAATCAACTCGATATTTATATTTTTTAATTGGACATTTTATATCTTACCTACAAAATTCCCACTTTGAATATTTCAAATTTAATATTTGTTAATCAATGGATTAATTAATTGATAATTAGTTAATTAATTATTTGAATTAATATAGCACTTTTTCAAATTGACAGGTTTTTAAATTACTACTTTCCATGAAGAACTTTGAGAAGACTTTTGTTCTTGGGACTTAGTTGTAATAAATCAATTCATAATAGAAATATAAGAAGGGTCCATCTTTTTTGGACATCGCATTCCAGTGATTTTTGTATTTATGTTCGTCTGCAGCTATTCATATACATGTGTTTGTGTGCGTGTGTTTGTGTGCCAAATTTTATACCTGCGTGTTCATATACGTGCGATCAGTAATTAAACTGTGGATTTTTCACACTAGTGGAAGTTACATGCATGCATATTTATTAAAAACCGTTACATGTATTCATACGAACGTAGTTGTATGATGAACTTGGATAACAACAGTCTTATTAAATTTTCATGATGAACTTGAATGATAATTATATTTTCAATAAATTTAACAATTTTTTTTAGAAAATTCTAGTAAGGAAAATTGAAAAGACAAACTTTAAATTGATTAATGCCAACAATTCAGTAGAATTCATACATTACTGTGTATATGTATCTTTATTTATTTGTATATATATATATATATATATATATTTATTTATTTATATGTATATTTATGTATTTATATATGCCGGAAGACCATAATTGATGAAATATTTGATATATATATATATATATATATCAAATGATACAGTATTGTATGAATTATATCAATCAATCTTCGTTTTGCGTCCAGAGACCCGGTTTCCCGAGGTAGGACGTTGTTTTCTTTGCCATCAACTTTTTGCGCCAAATTAGACGATCAGTTGTATCCATTTCATTTACATTTAGAGCTTTCATGTCTTGCTCGATTGTTTGCGACCAGGACCTCTTTGGACGGCCTTTGGGACGTGTGCCAGATACTTCAACATCTGCAAGAGAAGTTATTGCTCTGTTTCCACTTCGTTTGACATGACCAAACGACCGCAGACGGTGTTGCCGGCATTCGTCCTTTATATCATCTAAACCAGCACGACGCAGGATTTCGGTAGATTTGATGTGGTCCTTTAGACTAATTCGTTGCATCCATCGGAGCATTTTCATGTCGGTTCGTTGAAGTTGTTGTTCCAGTTTGGTTGTCATTGGCCATGTTTCTGCACCATATAACAACACCGGACGTATCACAGATTTATAAAGTCTTGATCGTAGTGGTAGTGGGATGTCACGCCGCATCAATATAGAGGCAAGGAGATGCCATTTATTCCAGGCTGCACGTATGCGTGCTCGAACGGCAGCTTCGGCTGTTCCAGTACAATCCAGAACATCCCCTAGATATTGAAACGATGTGACTTTCTCTATTTTAATGGCTTCAAAAACAGTGCTATTTCGAATTTGTTGTTGTGGATTGATGCAAGCAGGACAAACAAAATTGGACACTTTAGATAAAGTACCAATTATTTTTGAACAACGTTTGTGACACCACTGGTTACACTGCTGACACTTGATTGAATTGTTACCTACACCAGCTTTACAAACTGAACAGGGCCATCGTCCAGTAGCTGTGGATTGGATGGGTTCACCAGTGTTCATTGTATGAATTATATATATATATATATATATATATATATATATATCTGTATGAATTCTAATATATATATATATTTATATATACCCATGGTCGTAGTGTTGTATTTTATTTTGTTGCCTAACCGGGTCAACTTTTATATTCTGATTTATTTCTAATCTCATAATCTCTAGAATCCATTAACACCATAATTTTTTGACATTTTTTAATTTATTAATTAATCGTATTAATTTTAATTTTTAATTTGATTAGCTCTGCTAATAGTAATTTTCATAATAACCTTCATTTAATAATTTATGCTAATTTATGTTGTTTTAATTCTTAATTAAAAAAAACTTACATTTTTAATTAATTATATTTCTTATAGCTACCGTTTTCTAGCTCTGATTGTTTCACATTTATACGAATCGTTTTGTTTTGTTAATTTTATTTAAACTTTATAAAAACTCATTTGATCGTATTTAATTATTCATAATTCATTTCCTCGATTTATTCATTTGAAAACCTCCAACCAACCAAACAAAGAGTTATAAGTGCTTAAAAATAAAGGTCATCGTTGATACTGCTTAGTGTTTCGTGAGGTTTCAATGATGGGCTCTTGTAGGACCTGGCTTCCAGGTTGTCGAAGAGGTCTTGCAGAGTTTTCTGTGGTGGCGGCTTCTTATCGGCTCTCTGTGAACCGTAATTCACCTTTGCTTTGCGCATCAATTTCTGAAACGTAGGCGGCAGTTCGACGATAGCGTTATCGGATACGTCGACTTCTTGAATATTCGGCATTTTACCGATGGATTCTGGCAGAGATGTCAGGCAATTCTCTTGAGCATTCAATATTTCTAGACATTTCATTTTATGAATTTCCGCTGGTAACTGAGTGAGGTAGTTGTGAGATAAGTCTAGTGTTCTCATGTTGTAGAGGTAGGCCATTTCGTCGTGGAGGGCGTAAAGACGATTTTGGCTCAAATCCAATGAAACTATTCCAGAGAGCAGTTCAATGTCTTCAGTAACGAACGACATTAGGTGGTTGTTGGAGAGGTTGAGTGTCAACAAGTTGCGCATCTCTTCAAAACTATCCGGAATTCTTGAAATTTTGTTGTTGGACGCATCCAGGTGGAATAGATTCAAAAGTTTAGTTAAATCGTACGGGATTTGTTCGATTTCGTTATAAGAGATGTTCAAACGTCGGCAGGAGGTAAAGTTACCGAATCCGTTAATTTCCGTCAATGAGTTGTGAGAGAGGTCCAAGAAGGTGAGAGCCCTCATCTTGCATAAGTTTTCTGGGTAGTAGGTCAGTTCGTTGTGAGAGAGGTCCAAGTGGGTCAGGCCTGTGTTGTGTAGAAAAGTGTGTTTGTGCTGGCTGTCCGCTTGTCGGATTTGACAATTAATTTTAAAAAAATGATAGGTTTAATTCAGATTCTACGAATCTTCTCATAACCTTTAATCCGTGACATGCATTCTGGTAACGACAATATCCTCAAGTGACTGAGAACCAACTTGGTCAAATACCTGGCTACAGGAATGTCACATAACATATAAAGGAAAACGTTCTTTTGTGGCAGTGGGTTTTTAGACAGATTGATTTCCGCTACAGTATCTTTTGGAACGTTTACCCTAAAATTTCGCGGTATGATATGAATCATTAATAATGATAACGGTTATATTCAAATCAACATATTCACATGTTCAATTGATCGCAATTAGTACCAATGATAATACAATAAGTATATTTAGTGTTTAAACGGCGTTTTTCAATATTTATGGAATATACACGTGCAAATTATCGCACTGTACAAAGGGCGTTTAATTTTTAGTCGAAATAAGGTTCGCAAGTTTTAATGCGAGAAACGTTTTTTTAATTATTCAGTCAGTCAGTCAATCAGATTATATCTAAAGCTCGCGATGATCAACAGCGCTTCTCAGTGAATTTGGCAATCGAATTGGTATGAGATCCGCTCTGAACTTCGTAAGTGATGGAAAAGTAGTTAGGGAAGGAAAACAATGGTTCCGGATAAGAAGAACATAAAAAGCAAAAGTAGATTGAGCCTTTAGTTTTTATCAGGAACTGAAAAAATTTTAAAACCAGAAGACGATCATAGACCTGGGTGCTTAAGCCAATATCAACCAGCGATAATTGTGTTCCGTGATATTCTTTGGTAACCTATCACCACATCTGATAGTGATTATAAAATAAATACAGTAGGTTTAGAATATAAATATAAAATAGCAACCAAACCTTAGCAATTTGTTGTCGGATATTTCAAACTGCCTTAATGCGTACATGGACTCAATCGATTTTGGAACTTCAGTAAGAAGATTTCCTGAAAAATTAAGTTTTTTTTTACTAAATTCTAAACTTATATTGTTTCTGTATTATTTGCTTCATAATTTAGTAATAATTAAATTGCCGGCATTATTAAATTTAATCGTACGTTTTGTATCACATTCCATTATTTACTTAACCATAAGGTATTTCTTTTTATCAGTTGAAAGTTAACTGATTTTTTACAAGCACACTACACACACACACGCATAGAGAGAAAGAGAGTGACACGCATAACTTAATATGTAATCGTATGCATGTATGAATGTATGTATGTGTTTGTTTGTTTGTTTGTGTGTGTATGTGTCTGTGCCTATAGATATATACCAGACATGTAGAGATACTCGACAGTCCTGATTTTAGTGACATCTTTGAAGAAGTTAGTAAGCTGGTTGTAGGAGACGTCGATTGTCACTAAGCACTGTTTCTCACCCAAGGCTGACGTCAGGCTTCGGAGAAAGTTATGAGAGATTCGAAGGTGCTTCAGAGCGGGGCACTTACCTTGTTTTATGGAGTTTTAATGTTTCCGATGAAATAATATGAAGTATTCAGAGCATTTATGAACTCATTACAGAATTTATAAATTTAGAAAACATTGCCAATGTTGTCGACACAGGTAGTCAAGCACGTTGATACATTCATTTCGTTCAATTTTTTTATAATTCCAAGTTCAATTGAAGTCGAGGATCATCAAATATAAATGATTTTTTATTAAAAAATTAACTGTTTCAGTAATAATTAGCAGTGAAGTATACATTTTTACCGATTCGACTGGGTAGCTTTACGATTTCGTTGTGAGACAAGTTCAAATCGATAATCGCCGATAATTGATCCAATCTTTTTGGTAGTTCCGCTATCATGTTGTTACTTAGATCTAACGTTTCTAGTCGAAACATGTTCAAAAATATGCCAAAATCACTGAGTGAGTTGTTGCTTAAATGTAAATGCTTCAGCCATTTTAGCTCACTGAAGGAAGATGGAAGTTTAGTTAAATAATTATTAGACAAGTTCAAAGTGTTCAATCTCTTCAGATTGGAAAAAGCTTCAGGTAGTTCAGATATTTTATTGAAAGATGCGTCCAATTCGTAAAGTGCGTACCCTAAGATGCAAAAATCTTCAGTGATTGTTGTAATGACATTTTTGGAAACGTTCAAATTTCTTAGATATTTTGTTTGACCCAATTTTCCTGGCAATTCGGTTAATTTGTTTTCCGACAAGTTCCAAGTAATTAAACAGTTGAGTTTGTCAACGTGGGCTGGAAATTTTTCAAGATTATTTTTGGGCATGTTGATTACGTGAATCTGCCGGGGTTTTACTTTGACGGGAGCCATTGATTTGATCTTGTTGTTAGAAACGTCCAACACGCATGGTCTTTTGTAGATAGATTTCGGAATACTTCTTATAAGGTTATTAGAAAAATCTATTTTCTGCAATGTTTTAGAGTTGCCCAGCGATTTCGGTATTTTTTTAATTTTGTTGGAGTTAGCTCTGATCTCTACCAGTGGTGGTTTTTGCAGACATTTTGGCAAAATTTTCAACCTGTTTTCAGAAACATCGACATAAGAGAGATCAGCCAACCTACACAAACTCATCGGCAATTTTTTCAGATAGTTATGCCGCAAGTCCAAGTGTTGAAGTTGCACTAGAACTGCTATTTTTCCAGGCAAATCAGGTAAATAGTTATTAGGAGCTTCTAACTTCTTAGTGATCCATCCAATTTCCTCGTTGAGGTAAACTTCTTTCGGTAGTTTCTTCATGAGGAGAGTACTGAACCACAGATCGCATCCAGGTTCGGGTTTTCGCTCCTTGTAATAAGTTTTAACCGTTATGAACCGCTTCAACTGCGGACCCAGGGCAATTATTCGACTTCCTGGTCCCATGACTGGAATGTGCTTCTCTTTCGGAGGTTTCGGCATATTTGATTGACCTTCAATCTCCTCAACTATTTATCCAACAGATCGATTGTTTTAACAACAAATAAATTTACCGATTCAGTTTTGGCAGAAATAAAATTATTTTTAAATAAATATAGTTTTTAAATTTAATTTACTAAATTTATCTACGACACTGAGATAAGCTTTTTTTCACCACTTAATCGTATTAAATGTTGATTTGTCAAGAGCAGGCAATAAACAATTCATACGACAATCGTAAACAGGGAAATGAATAAATACAGTGACGTCACACAACATTTTATTAAATATTTTTAACCTCGTTCTTCGTCGTAATTGTTTCATTAAAAAAGTTGCAAGGTAATGAATTAGAAAAACTCTAACAGCGTCTACATCAATTTTTTAAAAAGTACTGCATTATACAATTGTGCACTAACTAAATTTTTCTAAAAATGGTGCCCCCAGTGAGGTTTGAACTCACGACCGCTGGTTTACAAGACCAGCGCTCTACCACTGAGCTATAGAGGCCATATGAAAAACTTAGCATAATGGAAGGTTTTCTTATAGGCAGTCATTAATTTAAAAGTTATTTTGAATGAAGAATTGTGTCCAATAAAACAATTTGAGAAATCCTTAAAATTAAAAATTTTGTTCAAGTTACATTATTAACCTTTGAAAAACACAAACTCGATACATTTAATTATTAATTATTATTAATTTCATTTTGTTTTGTTACTTAAAATTTTGTCTTTCCTTGATAAAATATTAAAAAAAGTTTGCCTTTCGACTTCGGCGTTTACGAGAAAATTTATACTAATAATTTAATCATGCGATTTAATTTAGTTAGTTTTATTTAGAATGAATCACAGTTTAATTTTTTAATAACATAATCCTCAAGTGGTCAAAGAGTTTATTTTTTAATAATTCCAATTTATTGATGAATTTTTCCAGTTTAAGATATGTATGTTTATGAAATAATCATTTATATATAATAATTATAAAATTATAAAAATTATAATTGCAAATAATTGCGTTTAAAATATTTATTTTTCGTTCGCTAGTTGCACACAGATGAATTATACATCATCAATACCGTCATATTACGATTCGACGTTAAACGAACTTAATTTATTTTATTTATTTAAAATTAATTTTATTTAATTAAATTTATTAAAAGAATAAATGAATATTGATCTCATTTATTTTTTAATACCTCATTTTAATCAAAAAGAGTTTTTAGTTTTTTTCAGTTGTTTCTTCAAAATTCAACGTTTATACGACAATGCTTCAAAATTGACACATCAAATAAATAACTATAAATAATTATAATCAATAATTATTATATATATATATATATATATATATATATTTATTTATTTATTTAATTATATAACACATACATACAACTATGCTCTTGAATATCTGTTTTGTTTTATAATGTATCTTTAATGCTTAAAACTTGAAATTAATTTAAATGTATAATTTAATGAATATAAATGAAAATAGAATTATATATATATATATATATATATATATATATATATATATATATATATATATAATAAATATTTAAATAAGCAGATAAATATATTGGATAGAACGTAACGCTAAATGAAACAGCCATTAAAAAACATTTAACAATGAATTTCACACGACACCTTTTTGTATGATTCATTAACACATTTACATTTTTTTCTTTTTTCTTTTTTTTCTTTTATTCTTTTGGTCATTCATAATAAAGGGACATATATAATACAGATTAAAGCGTAGGATATACTAAAAGATGTATCAATCAATATTAAGTGATTGCTACAGTATTCTTTACTTACTATTTTATCAATTAGAGGGTTGTTTAAGCTTTTCAGTTTTTCATATTACAAGAATCTCTTTCTAAGTCTTTCATATCAATGCCACCCAAGTAAAATTTTATTTCCCTGACCTCAATGCTCTTCAAATTTTTAAAATTTCCGATAATTGATAAACAAATTTGGTAATTTCGGGGTATATTTTTGATTTTGCCAAATAACATTAAACGTATTTTTTCAATGTATGGTATGTTTCTTAAAAATGTTTGAACGTTTCTAACCATTGGTTATTATAATTTTAAAATATTAACAAGCTCAATTTTTTTCCGCTGCATGTTTTTAAACCGACGACTATTTTGATTCTGACGGTAAGCAGAACTTAAATCCATTTCATCAGATTGTATGGACAAGAGTTTATAAAGCTAAGAAATTTTCAATTATATGCAACAAAAAACAGCAAACTGATATTTGTTATATGTTAATATTTCAGGTAACAATAGCAATATTTTAAATTTGGAAATTTGAATTTGACAACTCGCGACAAGTAAATAGACATTTGCATGTTCATTTTCTACATCAAATTGAGCGAGATTCCGTTTTTTTGAAAACTCTGCTGAAAGATCAAACATGGTAAAGATTTTGCAAAACCACTCAATTAAATGTTAAGGTCGATATTGAAGTTAACAAAAATTTGTGAAAATATAAAACCAAAATAAGGGTCCTCACAAATTTTGACCCATCTCATCTGTCTGTTGGTAAACCCGGATTTGTATGCAAACACATACATAGCAAAATTCCGAAGAGTACAAATATGCACTGTACGTACGTACATACGAACAAACGTATGAACGGAGAACACACATACATATTTCTACACACGTACCCTAAATTAATACAAACACTTTTTTGTAGACAAACATATAAATGAAAAAATGAACAAACAAATGAATGAATGAATGAACGAACGAACGAATGAATAAATGAATGAATGAACGAATGAATAAATGAATGAATGAACGAATGAATGAACAATCAAATGAATGAACATACAAATGAATGAACATACAAATGAATGAAAATACAAATGAATGAACATACAAATGAATGAATAATATGAAAACGTAAAATGATAATTATAAATATGAATATATGAATATATATATACACACACAAACATATTGTCTTTTCAAACGTAACTGTCCTTCAAATTAAGCAGCTCATAGCCAGCGTGGGCGCCAGGTCTTATGTTGCCCTGACGACCTTCACCTTCGATGCCACAGCCAATAACACCAGTGGTGTTCTCAATGCTAGAAGTTACGCCGACAGCAGTGGTGGTACCACTAAAAGCGGAAGTTCTAAAATATCTAGCAGAATTTTCGTCATAAATATAACTGGTGCCATCTTGGTTGTCTACGTCATCATCGTCGTCATCGGTGTCGCCATCACCATTAATGTCGTCGTCGTCATCTGCATCGTCTTTGTTGATGTCGTTTTTATTTTTGTTGTTTGATTTGCGAGTTGAAAATTGTTGATGTTGTTGATATTGTTGTTGCATATTTTTTGCAACGGTTGCTGTGGCGTTGCAGTGTAAATCGTTGTTACTGTTGTTGTTGGCAACATTTGTTGAGTTTTTGTTGAGTGTTGGGTAGGGTACAAATGTTTTTAAAATGTCTCTGCGTTGTTGTTGTTGCTGTTGGGAAGGTGTTGCATTCAATAAGCTCGTCACTGTTGTTGTTGTTGTTGTCGTCGTTGGTGGTTTGTGTTTTGATACCAACAAGACATCATCCGTCCCAGATGATAACAACAATTGTTGTTGTTGTTGTTGATGTTTTTGTTGCCTAGACAACGTGTTGCAAAGTTGTTGCGGGCCAATGGTTGACATCCCCTGTTTTTGGTGAAACAAATTTTTTGTCGCTGTATAAAAAAAATATCCGCTAAACAATTAATTTTTAAAAATTTAAAACTAAAAAGGAATTGTGAGAAAACAAAGAATATAAAAAAAAACATGGAAGCGGCAAAATGCGGAGGAGGAAGTATGGCCGTTGAAAAATGGTCGCCGTAAACAAAAAAAAACAAACAAATTAAATACGTAAATAATAAGCAATATTCACACTCCACTTTATACGCTGTGAAGAAGCGAAGGAAGAATGCCCAGATGATTTAACGAGCGGTTTAATTGGTTAACTAAAATTGGTCTTGAAATAAAAATTGAAAAAGACAATGTAATTCATATATATATATATATGCGTTAGTTTGTGTGTGTGTGTGTGTGTATGTATATATGTATGTATGCGAATACGTACAAAAGACATATGCATTGTGTATGTATTTCACACATGTCTTTGTGTGTTTGGGTGTGTGTGTGTGTGTGCATATGCACATGTATAAAGCTGTCTTAAGCCATTTTATGATAGTACCAACATAAGAAGATTTAACATTGTAAAGCTGTTGTTGTTGCGGGAAGTTTTGATAATGATACTGTTGCTGCTGTTGATAATATTGTTGTTGTTGTGTTGAAAAATCGGGTTGTCTAGGTTGCTTTTGTTGTTGAAGTTTCAGTATTTGGAATGGGAGTTGTTGTTGTTGATGTTGTTGTTGTCGCGGGAAATTGTGTGGCGAGAATGTTTGTAGTTGATGTAGATGTTGTTGTCTCTGTTGCTGTTGTTGTTGCTGGTAAGACTGTTGCTGCAGATGTGGTTGTTGCAGTTGCGAATGTTGTTGTTGCTGTAACATCGGAGACATGTAAGGCGAATCACTCGCCACACTGTTGAACACTGGAGTGGCTATGGTAGTGACGATGAAGATGATATTACTAGCGAGGGAGTTTTTATTCCTCATAAACCAAACTCTGTCATCCTCTACTCATAATTGAACCTTCCAGAAAGGAAGAATGTACACCATGCTCACCACACCACACCACACCACACCACACCACACCACACCACACGACCTCCATACACATCCGCGTGTGATGGTCTTTGGGTATCGGACAGGCAGTATTCGAACCATGCCATTGCGCAATAGTAGCCATCATCATCAATCATCACCACCCACGTCATCATCATCATCGTCGTCATCATCACCACCACCACCATCATCACAACATCTGACCTCTAGCATGGCAAAGGTCAACCTGACTGGTGATATCAATTACTTTGACCTCGTTTCGAGTGCTCTCATTCGCCGGAGATTTTTTCTGGGTCATCACAACGTCATTAATCTGACCTATATTGCTGGATGCCGACTGGATGGTTTTGTTGTTGTTGTCGTTGTTGTTGGATGTTGTTGCAGGAATGGGACGCCAGGTTTGCTGTGGGAAAAAATTTGTTTCGCTACTTTTGTTTTTGGTACTTCTATTATTTTTGTTATTATCATCATTATTCATCATCGTTATCATCACTATCATCATCGTCGTCATCATCATCATCATCATCATCACATACAAACAGACACACACACACACACACACACACACACACACACACACACACACACACACACACACAAACAATAGCAGACAACGTACAAGACACAGCATAATTTTTTTCTCTTTTTACATCGGCGACCACGACGACAGCGAGCCTCGGGCAACGAACAAAAATATTAAACAACAACAACAACAACAACAACGACATTATCAATAACAACAACAACATTATCAGCAACAACAACAAAGATAATTAGAAAAAAACAACAACAACAATAATAATAATAATAATAAGAACAACAACAACAAAAACAACAACAACGACATTATCAACAATAACATTATCAACAACAACAACAACATTATCAGCACTATCAGCAGCAACAACAACAACAACAACAATAATTAGGAAAAAGAACAACAACAATAACAACATAAATAATAATAGTAAGAAGAAAAACAACAACTATAAAAACAATAATAATAAGAACAAAAACAACAAAAACAACAACAACAATAATAATAAAAACAACAGCAGCAACAACAGCAATAATAAAGTAGATTTTGAGGTCATGTCTTGAGATAATGATGAACAATTTGTTTGAATCTGCTTTATTTGATTTTAATATGAAAAAAAATAACCAAAAATACGTAATTATTCAAACAAATAATAATTGAAATATAAATAAGAACAGAAATAACAATGAAGTAACAACTCTAAACAGCCGGAGTAAAATTTAAATTAAAAATTTTCATTAAAAATATTCGGACGTTAATACGTATGAACTCGTGTACGTGTGTGCAGTTGTGTGCGTGCAAAGCGTATATCTGTGTTTGTTTATGTGTTGTATGTGTTTGTGTGTGTGATTATTTTTTGTATATTTTCTTACGAAATAAGCGATTTCTAAACATGATGACGATGGTGATGATGATGACATTATGATAGTTGTAATAATAATAGTAATAATAATAAAAAAGGTGTTAAAATAATGATGATTCTAATTAATTTACTATCATTATTTATCAATACCGTGTAATTATTAATTAATTAATTAATTAATAGTAGTTAACAATCGTCAGGGATGCTAATGATTATTATTATTATTATTATTGTTATTATGTTGATGATCTGACGACGACGATGAGGATGATTTTAATGACAAAGATGACTTTGATCACCGTAATGACGTCACGACGAAGATGATGATAATTACATCTTGACGCTGAAGAGGACGCAGTCGTAATGACGATGGTAACAACGTCATAATTGCAACGGCGATAATGAGATGATGACGTCACGATGAGGATGGTGACGTCACGATGAGGGTGGTGACGTCACGATGACGATGACGAGAATGATTTTACCGGATGTGGAGGTTATTTTATCGTGGTTTTGTTGCTGTTGTTGATTTAACGAATAAGGTTAGAGTTTTTTTTTTCCTATGCAGAAGG